GTGTCATGCAGAAATTCTCCCTCCATTCGTCTTCGTTGAACTCCTGAAGAACCACCAACCTCTTCCACCAGCCTTTGCTATGGATGGCCATCCAGGGTGACCGGGTTGCTCTGTGCAGAAAAAAACGGAGCACAGTGACGCACGGCAGCCGCGTCGCACTCCAGCATCAGGCGGCGACGCTTGCCCTCATCTAAAGCCACAGCCCCGGACGACAGGGAGTTCCTAACATGTAAAACAAATACGTACACAAGGTAAGAAATCCACACAGCTGTCAACCGGTTATCACCAGACATAATATAGACGTCTCATCCGTTCACTTGTTTGGTCTATGTTGTTTTGGTTGGTCTATGACGTAACGGATAAACCGGAAACAGTTTTACTACAAACGTGATTACAGACATAGCCCTCTACAGGAGCGGAATGGAACATATTTTTCAACTCGCTTTCTATCTTCATCATTAAAAAAAAAGTTTAATTACAGGAAAAATAACGTTTTTGGCTAAAATAAATATCACATAGAAAATATTTATAAAAGAATTTCAACCATATAACATAACCAACCAGGTTCGCGTTACTATACGTCATTTCCGGTATTTCGTAAATCTTTTTCAGTCTATTTTATAAAAAAGTTAGCACCTTGTAAAGTTGTTGCCTTAAACGTTGAATTGTCTATTCATCCTTATTGTAATTGAAGTTAATTTCTGAACAAAAAATGTAAAATAACGTTTATATTTAATATGTTTAATTTAATTTAACTTTGTGCACAGCACTGTAGACACAATAATAATATGTAATCATGGAGTATTTTGTCCATGCTTTATCTCATTGTGCTGTTGTTCTTTTGGTATTGGTATTTGGTATATGGTATGTGGTTATCAATGTTGTAACATTTTTTAGCTTTGCTACTGCAGTAATGATTTTGTGATTAACCCTTTCACACCTAGTAACATGTTTTAGCTTTGCTACTGCAATAATGATTTTGTGATATTTGTGACCCACCCATTTACTTTTGTTTGTACTAGCTAATTATTGAGCAGTTTCCTGAATACGGAGGCCCCATTTTTTCGCAGGTACTAAACCTATATTTTCTTACAGTATAGGTTTAGTACCAAAGCAGACATAGCCATGTGACTGATTATGCAAATAAAATAACGTGTACTATTACAATGACTGGGTAAAACAACAAATACAGCGGTGTCTTGTTATTCAATTTTAGGAAGCCAAAGCACAGTGTGCGGGAAAAACCTGTGCCTATAGTTTAGCTTTGTCACTGCCGAGCTGCAATCGGAAACAGCTAAGCAACACAATCTGTGTTGCATGAAATGATTCACTTTTGTTGTTCTCCACTGACTGTTCTCGTTGTTGCGACGAACAACAGCACGATGTTCTGAAAACATTTTGTTTTGTTTTTTTTTCTTCTATGAAACATAACAAATGTTTTTCAAGTCAGCACACCCACACTTGCGCACCCACACACACGCCAGTGCTGAGGAGGCACCAGGAGAG